GCCCGACTTTGCAATGTGGCGGGATAAACGCAGGCGACACCGTTTCATCGCCAACCGCTGATACTCCCCCCCCCTCCCCCCCCCCCCCCCCCCCCCCCCCCCACTGTGCAGCTGTGCATATATCTCCGCGTTGGAACGGAGCATAAATCATTATGGGTGTCAGCCCCGTCCCATTTCGGCATTCACTCCGCCGAGGAGTGATGAATGTTGCTTTTGGTGTTCAAGGTGCCACCCCGCACAGTGAGGGCGTTGTCGGTCGGCCGCCCGGCTGAGGCGCGACCGACGGACGGTGCAGACGCGCAGACGCTCGGCGCTCGAGGACCGCGGTGATTTTAACCCGGAGTGGTGGCGCGTTTGGTTTGAACGGAGCGTTGCCGTTGGCGTGCATTGCATGTCTCGCACGCTCGTCGACGAACCGCAGGCAAGCAGGAAGGCAGTGAGCGCCCGCGAATAATTGCCCCACGTTCTGCAGTCGCTTTATATGTTAAGGTGTGTATATATATATACACAGGCAATTAGTGTTTACGCGTGGGAGGAAACCGGAGCACCTGGTGAAAACCCAGTGATGCGAGGGGGCAGTGCTCTTATCCCGTAGAGGAGGAACAGATGATGTTGGTCGGCACTTCGACATGCCGCGTATTCCTGGCGAGCCGGGCTATGCGGCACCTCCTCGACTGCCCACGGGAAGGGAGTTTCGCAAACATCTGCGTGCGGATCCACTGACCCTCAAAGCAGCTGCCTCCAAAGTGCTGGATTGCAGGCTGCCACGACCGCCCAACTGGCTCAGGCCGACCGTGTGGTATTTTTAGCAGCCGCTTTGATGGAGATGTTTTTGGAAGGAGGCGAGGAATGAAAAATATGTCAGTGTCGTCATCATTAAGGTGCACCCAATCGTTATTAGCAGAGTGTAATGTTAGGCTAACATTTCAGGGGGTGGCTAATACAGAATAATTAGGGGGTGGGATTTGAGCGATGGCCTCTGCTGGAGAAGGGAAGATGAGAAGTGTGAAAGAAAGCAGCATAGGCGTTTGAGTCTTGGAGGCAGATTTTATCACAACGTGGTGACGAGAAAGGACTGACATTTGGACAGATAGTTTGCGTGTGCATAATCCTTCATTATCGTTCCCGTTCTAAATGTTCGAAGAGAATATAGTCCTCGTGTTTTCCTGAGATTTCTTAAGGGAATTGATTTTGCGAGACGCAATTTGTTTTACGTGTGACGGGATTAAAACTTTGGTTGACGACTTCGTGCTTCCTGTTGACTCAAATCACGTGATAGTTTCAGCTTTTAAACAAAATCCATTTTGAAATTGATTATATTTCGCCTGCGATACCTCGCAATGCCAAAAAACAACAACATGCGCGCTGCTAATCTAGACACAGTGGAAATGTTATGCTTTTTAAATACACGTATATGAATGTTTGTATTAATATTTCCTCGAGTCAGTGAGGGACGAGATTGCGTATTGACTGAGCGCGCACATTCCACGTAATTGCAATCGCCTATTGAATTCCCACACTTGAAGATGCAATGAAGACGTCACCTCCGCAGCAACAACAACACGATACGGCCGAGCCTGCCTCAAGATTATTATTTCGGCGTTGCACCAATCAATAGTCTGTTGCGTTCGCTTGGCAAAGTCCTCCTCCAGCGGCGTGCCAAAGTGAAGGGAAATTAAAACGCCCGCTCGAAACGGCGGCGGTGTCGATCCAACAGCGACGTCGCCAAGATCCCCGCGAGCGGACCGGGGCAATTGTCTGCCCCCCCCCCCCACCACCACCACCACCCCACCACTCGGTGCTCCGTGCCCAGCACAGGGAAGACGGCTTTTAAGTTTCGGTGAGGCGTGACGGTATTATGATCACGCTACGCGCGAGCTGGTGAGCGCCGGGGCGGGCGCGCGTGCGTGCCCACGATAGTCCGGTCCCGTGAGCAGCTTTCTGACGATGCGTTCCCGCGCGCGTCTCGTCCGCCAGCCGCGGGGATTTGCACCGACCTGCTGCCGCGCCGAACCGAGAGCCGTGACTATCACGACGGCCCAGTCTGCCGCACAACGGCTCTACCCTCTTGCAACTCTTTTGTGCCGTGCGAATCTCGGGTTTACTCCGACGCCTGCATCCCCGGGGTCTGATTCTCAGATATCGCCCTCGGTCTTGTCCACTTGCCGTTGGTTTTCCCCGCCGCGGGGTTTTTTTTTACTTCTTTGCTTCAATGTCTGTGCTCCCCACGTTCGTCGACTCACACTGAGCAACGTGGTGAGTCGTGAAGTCAATTAACACAGGCGACCTGAACGGTGTCGGGTGACCTTCACCCAGGCAGTGGATGTGCAAAAGGGAAGTGTTTCTATTTGTTCAGCACATGCTGGAAAGGATCATTATGAATAACCACGGCACATTTTAATTTCAGGAGAGACTGAGAAGGTACCAGGCAGGCATCATCAATCAGTCAGTTTTATTCTATCTTAGTTCCAGGCTTGGAAAAAGGAATGGGAAAATTAAAATCCAGCCGTGAAGTTTCCTCGATTGCTACACATCTCTCTTTGGGGGGGATGACGGCCCATGGGCGAGACTGGTGACGGAGCGATAGCCGGAGGCGAGAAGGCTTCTGCAAGGAAGCCACCCTGGAGATGCAGCGATGATCTCGTTTCATGCGCAGGACTAAGATGGATCGCAGCGTTATTGGATTTGTGAGGGATGGCAAAGGTGTTGGGAAGTCTTCATCGAGCACTAGATTGCCAATTATTAAATAATTAGAAGATATTTTTTTTTGTTCCCAGAATAAATATGTATTCACATATGCATACATGTTCATGTTGTTACGGATGGGTGTTTTTTGGAATTGCTTTGAGTTTCAATACGAAAATAATGCACACACACGTTGATTATTTTCTGCATATTTGGTTTATTTCTGACTAAGATCGCAATTCTACATATTGCTTGTTGTGCTGAAAGTGGAACATTTTATATTTATAAAATTATTTAAAACTTTCTTATTTGTTTATTGACGAATTGTCATGAATGGCTCATTAATTATTTCTGTGAATGGAGTCTCTCCTGTGAGACAGAGAAGGTGGATCGATTCCCGTGCTCCTAATGTTGCGCTCCCTGCTAAATCTGGATATTCGTTAAGAGCCCATTCCGTACATTTCCTTGCGTTTTCATGGTCCTATTTCACCTTCAAAGACACAATCGAATAATCCTGCCATAATTTCACCAACAATTTCAACGGAGATTCTGGCTAACTTTACTCTTTTTTTACTGCATGGATGTAAGTTCATAAGACAAAATAATCTGTACCGTGAAATTAGAGAAGATAAATAATGCAATAAATAAGCCGATGAGACTCCTCCTTTATATATCTCTCCGCCCATCTAAAAACTAAATTGCTCATGACTTTTATTTCTTTACGAACGGTGTCGGGAGTGTTAAACAAGTTGGCTTTCAGTGACTTTCAGATCAGACTACATACGCTGGTAGCTCAGGGATGGTGAGTTTGAAACTTGAATTTCAGCCCCCAGTGAATTATTTGAGTTTCCAAGCAGAGTAATTTGATTTTCTTCCAAGAATGGACTACATGTTTGACTGCTTTAGTCAACTAGACGGAGAAAATAATAACTGTATTAAAGCCACGAACTCTTAAGACTTGATTAAAAATTCCACAGGTTGTTGTCAACGATTGTAAGAAGAAGAAATTATGCGTGGGTGGCTTAGAAGGAAGAGAGCTGAGCCTGCACAGCTAAGCACCTGGGTTTCAATCCAGGCAACGACCTGTGGTTAAACCGTGTTTTCAAGTCGTGTGGTGAATTGATGGCCTCAGCCTGATCACCAATGATTTCCCCCCCCAAAAAAACAACATGACTGTACTGTATTTTTTTTTTCTACGCTCAATTTGGGCCACATTGCAGCTCTGCGAAAGAATACATTTAAAAAAATCATGTTTGACTGTTACGTGATGAACATTAACCTCGTATGCAGAGCCCGTGGGAAAGTACTGCCATCTTCGGTGAGGACCAGAGGTCACTGGGTGGAATCTCAGAGGTGTAGAGTTCGTGGGCCAGAGCAGAAATTGGTACCACTCAAGGTAACAAAAATGCAGTCGGACCAATTGATTAATAATTGCTAATACGAGTGAATTTAATCTTGGTTTGAAGCTTTCGTGACTGCAGGAATCCATACTCTATGGTTCTTTCGGTAAAGTCACGTAGGTAGAAAAATAAAACAAAATAAAAAAAATAACATCGCGACGTTTCGATCGCAACACAAGCGGTCGTCCTCAGGCAATCGAAACATCATGATTATATATTATTTTTTATTTTGTTTTATTTTTCCACCTACGTGACATTACTGACAGAAGCAAAGAGTGCGAGTGAATTACTTGATAACGCACCCGTTCAAAATGGTTATCACGTATTCTTGGTTCTTTCGGTAAAGTCACGTAGAAGGGAAACAATAAAATAATAAAAATATAAAGCAATTAAATTCTCTCGACGTTTCGACTGATTGTGTTGCAGTCGAAACGTCGTGAGAATTTTGTTGTTTTATATTTTTATTATTTTATCGTATCCCTTCTACGTGACTTTACCGAAAGAACCAAGAATATGAATCCCTGCAGTCACGAAAGCTTCAAATCAAAAGGTTATCACGTAATTCACTGTTTTTGGCGACATCGAGAAATTGGAACCAGTAACGCTATGATGCTACCTCAGGTGGAAGTGACGAGTGAAATATTCTATCTGCTCTGGGCCCATGGACTATAAGTGAGTAGCTCTCTGATATCTGCTTCACTTCCGTGGGTCATTCTGCAACGCGATCGGTTAGCACCGCTCCGCGAGAGGTCCGACGGCTGCTTCATCTTGACAGCGCGACAACAACGAAAAAAATCGCGATGCATCCGCGTAAAAAATGACGATTTTAAAGAACGACATTTTTCCTCAAGACAAAACGCCATTAACGAATCGCACGACCCGCGATGACCCGCCCGTGCCTGCCGCGCGTTCCAGGGCGGCCTCATCGCGCTGCTGCTGCTGCTGCTCCTGCTGCTCACGCTCGCCCTGTACACGCGCCGCGGCGGCAGCGGCGGCTCCTCGGGATGCTGCCGCGCCCAGCGCCACCGCCCGCCGATGCCGCCGCAGAAGAGCGCGAGCGCCGAGGCGGGCGACGAGATCCACTACATCCCGTCCGTGCTGCTGGGCGCCCACGGTCTCGACTCCCGCCGCTCCAACGCCCGCCTCCTGCAGGACTCGCACGCCGACGGTGATTGTCTGCCTCGTTTGACTTTTTTTTACTTTTTACTTTTTACTTTTGACGCATTTGCTGAGCTCAGGCCCAAATGGGGGAAGGAAAACAAAAGTCACGTGGCGAGGATGCATGCCGTACGCACCGTACGTAGCCGACCGTGCTAATCGGAGGTGCATTAATAAACAGACAGTGGCAGGTTCAAAGGTCGGGGGGAAAGGGATGTGGTGGGTTCGATCGTCTCCCCCCCCCCCCCACAACTCCAGCCCCGCCCCCCACCCCCATACAAAATTCTTATTTTATCGATGTTCACCAGGTGCGCTGAAGTTAGTTTTGTTTAAACGGGTGAGAACTCTGGAGACCACGAGGATCGGTCTCAGTTGCAGGAGAGACCCCGGGAATATTTTATTTTTTATCTCAGTACAGCACCTTCTGACCTCCGGCTGAAAGGCATTTTAGAAGTGTAAAGTATTATTATGAATGATTAGTCTGCCGTTAGGGGGTGATGATTGCTATGTGTAATCCCAATTGAGTAATTTGCAGTGTAACTGAACAATTTGGCAAATTTGAACCTTGACGTCAGCGCGCGATGGCCTCCTCTTGCGAGGGATCTTTGCCGTCCACTGTGACACAGACGGTGCGTGTTGTTGTGGTTTATACGCGCAGTAATAATGGGGGCGGCCTGCTGGAGTCGAACCGGGAACCTCAATTGAGCAAGGTTCTGAGATCTCTGGGAAAAGAGACGATGGGAGGGAATTCCAAAGTGGAGCAGTGCGAGGTCAGAGGCAAGAAGAGAAGTGGTAAAATAGAGTCTCAACATGGGTGGAGGAATCAATGATATCATGATGATGTCAATGATACTGATGGTGATGATGGGGAGTGGTAGTATAGCGGTTAGACGCTGCGCTACGAACCCGGCCACTCGGGTTCAATTCCCGCTCACGGCCAACATCAGTGCCAACTATATCCGAACCAGTCCTGGGCCTCCCCTAGTTCGCCTTAGCCTCAAATGAGTACCTGGTGCGGTGTGTAAACATCGCCACTGGGGAGACAAAGGCGGTCAGGCGTGATGCTGTCCACCCACCCGCTCGTGTACCATTCCGGCCTTAATGGGGTGCTCGCTTACAGCACTTGCCCCAAAAGTCTGTTAAAGGCTATTCGGGGGATCTTTGGTGGTGGTGGTGATGATTATGATGGTGCAAATGATGATGGCTCTTCACGGATATCCTGTACAGTTCTCCGATATGTCGGGCTATTTCACTGTGTGTTGTTTGGCACAGTGTCTGACATTCCCCCCCCCCCCCACGTTCTGGGAGCTTTTTCGGGAACTGATATGAGCAGCTCGATTTAATCTCTCGATAATAGAGCGCTTATAGCAGCAGGTGGAGCGAAACGTCGGACAACGTGCCGAGCAGCACACAGTATAACCCGGAAACACATGGGGGAGAGCCCTTGAAAGCTACAAGGCGAAGGCTAATCCCGTCGTATATTTTGCATCGGTCACCAATGGAGGTTGTGTTATTTCTGCCATCGGCAGTTCCAGAAAGAAAATTTATTCAACTCCCGGCTTGGATGCACAACGCCACGATCGCCATACCATGCCAAATTTCTAAAAGTCAAAATAAATCGTTTATAATTCGAGCTTTAACGAAACGGAACAAAAAAAAAACTTTCCCGTAAGATGAAGGAGTTCTCCGCTCTGATAACAGAAAGGTACGGCGCGTGCTGTGTGAGCGACTTAGTGGCTCCTATTTAATATTGCCACGAGCAATATCTTATTTTGCTCTTGCTGCTGCTGCTGCTGCTACAAAGTGCTCTGATACAATTCAGGGGAAATGATAAAGATATTGATCCACCTGCGGGTCGTGACAGCGGGGTTATAAGACCGCTGCGCGAAAGTAATAAACACGGCAAACAACGCATAACCCCACCCCGCGTACGATCGCAAACTTTTACCCGCGCGTTTTTCAGCAGCGCTTCAGCCATTGACCCAAACGCCACGGGGCAATTTGTTATTTGACACGTCAATATTCCGTTAGAATATGTAATATCATCTTTAATCCAGGACAGAAGTTATATTTCCCTTGGGATTTCACGGAACCGGCGTTTTGAACGCGTTGCTTCCCCGGGAGGGAGGCTGAGTCCAATCCGTGTCCCCAAAACCCGTTCGCCCCGACGGTCGAACTTTCACATGAGCTGCATTCACGGGGGGACCAGCCTCACAAAGTTTCGTTGGATCGCAGCTGTGATTGGAGAAACACTCGACACTCAGCTCGCGGGGGTGGGGAGGGGGTTATACATGTATAACCATACTTTACCGCGCTGGTCAATGTGGATTAGCAAAGTCGGGGAGCGTTAAAGGGAAAACACCAAAGTGCAGTGCACGGTGCGACGGTGGATATTGATGAAGTCCTCTGCTGCCCACCGTCACATCCCTGCCTCGGATAAGATACAGAACAGGCAAAGAGAAAAAGATAAAAAAAAAAATATCCCCTCAGATGTGTATCGGTGTAGAGCGTGACGATGCGGCCTAGCGGGGGCTCGGTTTTCTAACCGACTGTTCGAGAGGTTCACCGTTCCGATCCAAACGGCCGCCCTGGTTAATGCTGCGGGGGGTGTATTAACGGTCAAAATACGCACCGTTGGAGAACGGTGACGTGTGCAAGCGTAGGGGCGTTGTGCGCTGGCATCACGGTCCACATTTGTAAAGGAAAAATGCCCACAAAGTACCCAATTGGAATCTGCATAGGAATTATTTCCCCCCCCCACCGCCACCCGCCACCCACCCCCCCGACTGTGAAATCTTTGTGGGGACCTTCCTGAGCAAAGATTGTTGGTCAGACTCGGTGGGGCTTTCCTGGATAATAATAGTAATAGAAAATGCATGCAGTTAGGCCTCCGCATTCATCACCTTGCCCCATTCACTTTCCGAAATCCGCGCTAAAGATCCACACTGTGTGTTGTATAACGAGAGAGATTTTTTTTTTACCGGCTAGAGGAAGTTGTTTGTTAGACGACGTCGACGGCAAAAATTACGGACAACAGCGCGGAAAACATTCCCTCGTAAATAACTTTCATATTTACCCCGCCCCCCCCCCACCACCACCACACCCCCCATGTCCCCTCCCCGTCGCAGCGGACGGGACACCGGTGCGCGAGACGCCGATCCTGGACGACTTTGACTTCGAGAACGGCGTGGGCGTGAGCGGCACGGTGCAGCGCATGAACCACCGGGGCGGCGGTGGCGGCGACGAGGATTACGGGAGTCAGGTGACGCGCACGCTCGAGAGCCTGGGCCGCGTGGACGAGGACTGCCACGGGCACTGCGACGCGAGCCCAGGTGCATCTGCCGCACTCCGGCCAAGCGCTCTCTCTCTCTCTCTCTCCCTCTCTCTCACCCACAGCTCCCTTGACCCCGCACCTACCAGACTTATCCCCTACCCCCCTCCCCCCACCCTCCCAGCACCTTCCGATTGGCACGGTCGGTGGCGACGTACGGCGCGGGAGAAATTCAACGTACGTACGTACGTTCTGTGAAAAAGAGTTCCGTAGCTCATAGGACCTTCTGCAGGATTTTGTCGCGTCGGTGCTGACGGCGGCGGCTGACAAGTCCACCTAGCGATTTTTCCACGCAAAGCGGTGTGCGTGCGCCGCCTTGGCTGTCCCGTTCCCGTTCTTGACAACACGCCGTAAGTGTCTTTTGACGTCGTACAAACGTGCAGCCACGCGTGCTTCGGACGCGAAAAATGTTCGCGTTGTGCACGTCGTTGCGGGTTTGCTTCCCGCGCGGGAGATTTCCGCGCGGACGTTCTGTCCTCATGATATGACGGCGATAGAGCAATCGGAATGAAACTGATAATACACAAAAAAAAAACCGGGAATATTTCGCGCGAACAAAACTTTTTGTTGGTTGGTCAAACCGCGCGTCGGTGCCGGAAACGTAAAAATGTACCACACATTTGTTCGAACTTTTTTCCAATAGCCTCACATCAATAGTGCCTTTCTCACGCTCTTTCACACACACGCTCCGATGTTCCCTTGCACCTTGCATCTCGCGAGTTTTCGTTACACGGGGCCACCTTTTCACTTGCACGTGCGCGGGCGTCCGTATGAGACGTCGGCAGTTGCGGCGTGGATTGTTTTTAAATCCGGGTCACCTAATTTTGTCGCCGCCAGCAAATCTGCGGGATATCCGGGTCCGCGCAGCGGCGAGTGATTGTCCGGCGCAGTTGGTGCGGTAGCAGCCAGGGGTCCTTCTTTTTTTTGTTTTTTGGCGAGCCTGCGAAATCGATAGTGTATTTCGCCAGCGTCAGGTTGGCGAGCCACGTTAGCGCCACGGCGAGGAGGCGAAGCACCTCCCCCCCTCACCCCCCCCCCCTCGTGCGTCCACACACAACGCGGATCAATGCCGTCCCGTTCGCTGTCCGGCCCGCGTGGGGTCACCCCCCCACCCCTGCTCCACCCACCCCCCCCCCATGATCGCGGCTCCCTTGAATGGTTCCTTCTTCCTTTTTTTAGGCGGCCGCGCAATAAATATCTGAAACGGCATCATGGGGCAATCAACAGACGCACACTCGCGAAATAGATTAAAATCAATCCACCGGCATCTGGCGGGGTGATGGCGGTTCATGGTGATACTCTGCCGAACTCGGTGCTCAACGCTTGGCCGGTTGGGAGATGGTTATCTGGAACGTTGTGGGTCCAGCTCTCCCGAAGCTTTTGTTTTTGCTATTTTTCTTCTTATTACCACCGCCGCCCGCCCGCCCCCCCCCCCCCCCGCCCCCCTGCTGTGTCTTGGCAAGCAAGGGAATCTCGCAATTCCCCCTTGTCGGGAGCGGTTTGTCAGATGCTATTACTGCGGCAGGGCGCTGCAGTTGCCATACACGGTAGCTCACCACGATTCCTACCCACCCACACATTTCGGCATCGGTTAAAGCGGCGCGCGCACATTTCTTCCCCCCTGCTCCCCCCTTGTTCCCCCTGGTTCCCCCTTGTTCCCCCTGGTTCCCCCCCCCCCCACTGCCCCCCCCCCCCTCCGCATGACAGCCACGTGATTTCCTTTCACAAAAGCTCCTCACGCCTTTAATGCAAGACTTAATTTATCAAACGAGCCACACTGGAGAGGGATAAATGCAATTGCTCGTATGAATGATCTCTCACTGCTGCTCGTGAATTGTTAAACGCGCCACGCGATGCCGCCTGCCCTACCAAATTCTAAATTGACTCAACCTGTGCTCTGTAGAATTGGCGTGGAGATTCTGAATTATCATTTTTATTCTCTTCCCAAATCCAAATAGCCGCTCTTATTTTAATAAATGGGAGCGTTTTAACCGCGTGCCGTTTTCCCAGGCACTAATGTGCTCTCTCGCTGTTTACTGCCCTTTGTCAATCCACTGCTGGATCACAGTCTCTGCATCCCCGTGTCCGTCTTAAGGGGGTTGTTTGATCCCGTTCCACCACGCTGATCACCGTGCGTTGATGAAGTCTGGGAGGCCCAGGACTGGTTCGGATATCGCTCGCCACCAATGTTAGCCGTGGCCAGGAATTGAACTCAGGCCACTGAGTTCATAGCTTAGTGTTCTAACCGCTGTGTTCTAACCACTACTCCCCCTCATCGTTTTGACAGCAGTTATTTACAACTATTGCCGATCCACTCGTGGACGAAGGCCTCCCAACTCCGTCAGTTGTGGTGATTTCCTATACTTCGCCAAAACTGGTCATTGCAGGTTGGTGAAGTGGGAGGGGGCCCTCGAACCGGCTCAGATATCGGTGACCACCGATGTTAATCATGACCGGGGATCTAACTCAGATTTGCCACGTTCGTAGCACGGTGCACGAGCCGCTGCTGAATTGTTAATGTTTGCTTTTAGAGCAGATGGAGCATTTTTTTGCAATGGACTTTATTGCCGAGCATGTAAAGTGAATGATGGTGGGTGCACTAACTGCTCGACTGAGTGAGAAAGCAATAACTCCTAATAAAATATATATATTAAAGGAAATGACAGTATTCATATACAGAATATATACTTGCAATCTGAAGGTCGCCAGTTCATCTTCCCTGCACGGCAGTTTCTTAAATGTTTCCCCGTTCGTGTCCATCCAACGTTCGATTGGCAGGTGGCGTTGGGTGGGGTCAGGTGTTTGGTGCTCCAGATCAGTCCTTCCACGACATCTGCCCAGCATGGAGAAGTAGGCCAAACAAATACCCCCTTGAGGTTCTCTCTCGTGCTGCCTCCAGCGATGTCCCTTCCGCCAACAGCGGCGTGGGGAAGCAATTGCAGGGCTTTGACTTCATATGCATACAGTACTCTATATGCGTATAAATCCCTACCACAAGAACAAGTACACGGGGCTGCCATCTGGGCACGTTTGCAAATCGCATCGAGGTAAAGAATTGGGGTGTATTTGTTTATTTTTTATTTTTGTGGTTGCGTTTTCTCTTTCAATGTCATACTGCATTTATTTCTCTTGTTTTTTGTTGTTGTTTTACAAACCATTATTCTGCACTGCTTTATTCACACTATAAACCGCTCCGTTCCTCGGTGTTTGTGTGTGTGTTTGTGTGGAAGAACAAATATTTACTTTAAAGCAGAACTGTCTGCTGCCTGGCCGAGCAGAGAGAGTTTGGTAAGCGATTCATTATTCTATTAAGGATTCATGCGCAACTGTCGGAAGCAGGCGGGTGTTACGACTGTAGCATTTTAAGCCCCTGCAATGCTCTTTAGAGCTCATCCCTTCTGAAATCTAAACACAACCGGTCGCTGTTTTAATCAAAAAATGGAGAAAAAAATCCAAGAAATACAACCGTGACGAGCAAATGATATCCAGAAAAAAAGTGGAAGTGCCACTGCGCATGGTTTATAGATGCCAATATCAGTTTTATTGTCCCGTTTATGAGAAGGCTACCTCTTAGACGGTCTTGTCTTATGGCCGTTTTTATGTCTCGGCGTTTCTCTCTTAACTTCCTTTAGCCTGTGTCGCAGCACGCTCACCCATCAATACATAAACTCTTCTCCACTCTCTCCACTCTCTCTCTCTCTCTCTCACACACATAATGGCACAATAGCCGAGGCGACGGGCCGTGAAATTCCCAGCATGCACGGCGCGTGGTGCCTCCCCACCCGGTAAAATAAAAAACGCGTTTGCCGATCGACGTGGAAATTAAGCGATGATAAAAATCACGATGGAGGCACGCGTCGTTTTTATCCGTCGTTAAATCCACCGCAGGCAACGGGAGCCAACCTCGGCCCCGGCCCGGCTCGTCGTATTTTCTCTCCGTTGTGTGCAACGGGGCGGGGGGAGTCGGCAGACCTTTCCGCTCAAGGTCACGCCAAGGGTGACCTACTCTCTCTCTTGCTGCCCCAAATAAATACTAAATAAGTGTGCATGTCTATACGGAGATAACTCCCTCAGCACCACGTTCCACCTAGTCTTTGTCTGTTATTTTCTGCTTCTCCTTGGAATATTTAAACCCAGTTGTCAAGGTTTGTTTTTATACTTAATACTCCGTTTGTATCATTTTCTCTCTCTCTGCACTTAATTGCACTTTGTTTTGCCTCTGCAGTGAGGGTGTTAGAGCTTTGCCCTGATGTTGGGGTGTTGTTGCCAGTTGTAGTATAAACCATCGCAAGTGATATTTCCACGTCGTTTGCAATGTAAATTGGAGTGGAGTAAAGATATTATTTCACTTGAGGGATTTTAAGCAGCTTGGCTCACTGAGCTTTCACCGAGATGCATCTCTCCATCCTCATAGTCTTCCCACGAAGGCACAATGACAGTGAAACTCCTCGGGTCTGCGGTACCTTTTACCCACCCCCAATCCAGACGTCGGCATCGGCTGTACAGGTCTCTCCAAGCAGGAGCACGTCAACCATGTGGAGTTCGAGGAAACGTCCCAGGAAGTCGCTCTTGGTGCCTTAATAAGCCCCTCTACATTTATACGACACAGACGTAGTGACGGCCCCACGCTGCGGTTACTTTGGCCCTGCAAAGGACCTTTTGGTTTTGCAATCCCAATCGGGAGGCCCCTTTCGGGCGTTCGACAGCCGGGTTTGATGACAGTTTGTGATAAGCGCGTAACAGTGGGGACAATTCGCCGATGATGTTGGCCCCAGCCGGGGGGAATCAAGCGCAGGTGAAGCCTCAACTTCTCACGTTCATCACCTTGCACCAGGTGAGGACTCAAGAGTCCAGGGACAGTCTCATTTACAACAGTGGCCTGGGGCATTCGTCTGCCTGTAGGGAGGTCGGGGCGATGATTGCTATGTTTCATCCCAATTGAGCAATTTGTGGTGTAACTCCCCACCTTGGCAACCTTGGACCCTGACGCCGGCACACGATGGCCTACTCGCGTGAATGACGTCAAGGGACCTTTAGCGTCCGCGGCGAGTAAAGCAAACGGTGCATGGTCGTATTATTCCTACTGCAGTAATTACACACTGCAGTATGAATCAGGCCCGGCGGCTGGACTTGAAGCTTGAGCATCCGTAGCCTGCGGTCGAAAGCACTGCGGCTAGGCGATGCCGTCGCACGCGACGCGGGGTTATTGTACAGTGTGCTGTCCGCAGTCCCACCGCTGCACCCCATGTATGCCCCGTTCGTGACCGTGCAAGTGTTCGCAATGCGTACGGAGTCCGACTCACAGTGCACCCTTTTCTGTTGCTTGAATGCAACTGGCGGAAAGTGATGATTTTTTGACGGCTTTTTTTGCCAAACTTTTTTCTGCGTAGAGTTTGACAACATTGACCCGCTATGCATTTAAAAACAAATATCGTAACTTATTGAAAAAAAAACAACCTCTGTCTCCCCCATGACAATTTTCGTTCTGCTAAGATTGTGAAGCAGCATCTGCTGTTCTATTTATTATACTTCAAATTGTGTAAACTTACACGCATTAAATATTCCACGGTGGTCCTGTTTGCAGCCTGCACTGAGTTCCAGAATCTTCTTCCTTGGTTTTACTGTTTTCAGGACTCACAGACAAGTTTCCCTGTTTTTTTTTATTTCTGTAAACTTTCAAGCACTGGCTTCAGATGACTTGCGGAGCACAGGACGCAGAACGCCAATGGGCCAGCAATCAACAGCGAATGAATAATAGTTAATGCGTTTCTTAGATTGAGCGAGGTCATTATAAGATGTTGGGAAAAAGAGAGACGTTGTGAGGGACTTCCAAACGTCGAAGAGTTCGAGGGGAGAAGCAGAAAGAGAAGTGTTTTGACCTGCAGTGTGGTGGTTCAAGAGAGTATGGCTGGGGATAACCACACCGATAATGCACAATGCGAGTTTTCTCACGTCTTATATCGTGGTGGAGTCACAGTGGTAAGATGTTAACTACCTCGTCTGGCATTCAGGATGGTTGTGGGTTCAATCGTGACCCTGGCGTCTATATATTTGGAGTTTGCGTGTTTTCCTCGTGGCCGCGTGAATATTTCTCCTGGTCCTCTGGTTTTTCCCTCCACATTTAGAAACGATGTCACGACACGTTTAGAGTATTTGGCTGCTGCTATAGATGTCGACATGATGATAAGCAACTGCATTGAGCTATAATTTGCGTCCAGGTTGCTTCTGACAAAGATATATATAGCTCAGTGTATCTTACGTCGTAAAATAAAATACAATTATTTAGTGTAAATAGTTTATAGAGTCCTCAAACATTGGTGGAACAGTCGACGAGCGATAATAGCGATAGAAGAGTGATATGGAGGTGAGTGAATGCCAGTGAGCGAGTGGCTGTGGAGTGAATCGCCGAGTCCTGGATCATCAATCACCCCGACTGTTTTACATTTAATTGTCTGTTGCAGTGAAGGTAGGAACTGGGCACTCTACCTGCCATATACGACATCAGCAGGATTCCAACTTTGGCTGAACTTGAGCTGTGTATGGCCGTCATAATTGTTGATAGTGAAAGATGGAGTTGTCGCGCTAAAAATAAAATCGAGTTTCTTAAATGTCTCCTGCACATTCGTAGCATGGCCATTCCATGATGGCATTGACGCTGTCTCTGGTACCGCATATCCATCACGGACAGCATTGTGCATAGGATGGTTACAGTGTACCCAGGAGGATTCATCGTTGTACGAGTTTTGGCTGTCGCGTTAAAAGCTGAATGTTGGGCAAGCTTCTCTGAGTAAATCAATAGCAGCGTGCTGGCTAACGATGGCGATTTCAAAACCATTGCAATTCAGCCATCGATAAATAGGTGTCTCTCGTGAGCAGTCACTTCCAGACAACCTCTCCGTTTGCCCACTCTCCAGGGGAGGTAAAAAAAAAACATCGTCGATTTGTTGTTGTGCAGTTGAGATCACTCCGCTGCCTTTGCTTTGGCAAGCTGTGACCGTAAATGGCAAGCGAACATCTGAATAAACCGGTAGTGCAATCGTGATTCACCCGGTTACATGGGACTCCCTTGCCAGGCTTCGACAACTACCTTAGCGACACATGCATTCTCGAATTTGTTTTTGTTCCTCTACCCAGTTGTATCCCTCTTGATCGTTTAGCAGAAGGGATGGAACGATGAAATCGGCTCATTCGCAGGAGTCAGACGTTGCCGTCGTATTGCAAGACCGCGAGAGGTGGCGACGGACTTGTGGAGGCCTTCATCCAGCAGTGGATAAATCACGGCTGATGACGACGACGACGATGCTGATGAAATTGGGGGTAGGCGGGAGTTTAACGACCCTCTTCATCAACCCCACCCCACCCCCCGCCGCTCTCGCCCCACCGTCGTCCATCAGGCCGGGACGAGACGGTGGAGTCGCTGGTGATGAAGTTCAAGGAGAGCTTCCGCGCCAACGCCCCCGTGGAGCTCAACCGGCTGCAGCAGGTGCCTACGCCGTGCGGCTCCGACAACCGGCGCAAGCGGCGGCGCCGCAGCCGCAGTCGAGGTGAGAAGCCGATGGCGGCGGCGGCGGCGGCGGCGGCGGCGACGGTGGGCAAGCACATGGTGCCAACTGAGCGACAACTAAGCAAAGGTCTATTGGCACCACAAGTGGCTCAAGAGGCCCGAGGCTTCACGTTTACTTCGTGCCTAAGCCAACACGTATGTACGTACGTACGCACGTGTGCTGAACTTCTTTCGCACCGTACGTAGCCAACCGTGCTAATAGGAGGTGCGGGGGAAGGACGACAACCCAAAACACAAAAAAGCAGTCCTACGGAAATGAGTTTTCAAAAGCAGGTGACACAGCAGGTGTTTCTCCGTCGATGGCCGATGCACCGATCTTTGCCGTGTAACAACCCAGCACCTCGTAACAACTCGCGTAGATTCATATACCCAAGTTTGGCCGGTGTTGCGGCTTTGTCAGCCACGGCGAGTTTCCCTGCAGATGTACCAAGCATTTCCTAAACAAGGGGGCCTGGATTCATGAAATAGTAATAATAATAATAGGGATCGTTTACAATATCAGCTCAAATTGAGAGAGTAATTAACGTCGCGCAAAAAATGTTTTCAAAAACTCAACATGTTCGTTGATAATATTAGCCCCAAAGAGGAAAAATACATGCAGGAGTACTTTTATTCGTGGCCCTATTACCATCAACTCTGTTATCCGTGGCAGCTGGAGGGTCCGTGAAGACTCCCAATTATCCACTTCCTTATTTCTTCATATTATCCATGGTGATCCACAATGTTACCCATAATGCGTGCAAACGCGTCTTCCTAACGTACGTGATTTTTTGTACATAATCGGAGATACATGGCAAGTGACTCCTATTACCGACGGGGTTGCCTGCATATCTTTCCCAGTGGATGAGAGGAGTAAAATTGGCGATAACCCCGCGAACAACATGATCCCCCAAAGAGCTCCCCCACAACACCGCAAATGAGAGAGTAGTTCTGTAATAGTTGACGTTTCGGGCAATGGTCCATTTCTGCAGCAAGGAATTATTTTTCCTCTTTCGGGCAGTGTTATTGACGAAAGTGTTGCTTTTGTGTTTGTTATTGTGATCTTGCACTACTGCCAATGCAGCATACGTTCATTTTGGTCTAATGAACATCAAAAAAAATTCCATTAAAGCAAACAAGCGAGTTAATCTCTCATCTCTATCTTGTCGGGAACCCTCTTCTCATCATCTCACGACATTTGTCTGGCGTGCCACATCTCTCATGACACGACATCTCTGTCTCATCTGTATCCTCTCCTTTCACTATTCCACCACGACTTTTTGTCCACATTCGTTCATCTCACTACGTCTCGATCGCTTGAAAAGGTGTCGGGGGTGGGGGGGGTTGGCGGAGGCAGGGGTGAGGGTAGGGGGCCAAAAATAAATTCTGCTTAGGGCCCTCAATGGGCCAGCAGCGACACTGTTTGCCAAAGTGACGGAGCGCTGCGGTGCGGTGCAAATATTATTAACAAGTGCTAGCGGATCAATTAACACACTGGACCTCTCAGTGTAGTGTAATGGATGTAACACACACACACTGAGGCTCACAAAATCTATGCCGCAAAATCCCTTCTCTCCCGGCGGGATTTGCTCAGCGAGCGGTGCACAGCAATACTTTCCCACACATTTAAACGATCGAATGGAACTAATGGAAATTACAATAATGCCGCTTTTGGGGTGAGGTGACGACGTGGCCGGGCGGTAGTGCGCTTGCCGCTTGTTAAAGATGCCGTAGGTGGGCGCAGCGGTGGAGGGATGTTAACAACCTCGCCTGGCATACAGGAGGTTGTGGGTTCGATTCTGATTCTGACGCTTGTATATATGGAGTTTGCATGTTCTCCCCGTGGTCGTGCGGATTTTTCTCCGGGTGCTCTGGTTTGTCCCTCCACATTTAGAATCAACATACATTTAGAGTATTTGGGTGGTATACATTTTAACATAAAGTCACTTCATTGAGCTATAATTTGTGGCCAGGTCGCTCCTGAAAAATAGCTGGAAAGCTCAGTGGGGCCTTGCTTGGTAAAATAAAAAAAAGAAGTTCAGTTTCGTTTTAATTTGCGATTCGAGCCCAGCAAACCACCCTGGTTAACACTGCGGGTGAATTGACCGTTAACCGTGGATATGCTTGGTATACTTCGCAGATGACATGAAGGATCCCCTTGACGTTATTCGTAAAGGAGTAGACACGTGCTCGGGGGTCATGTTCCACCTTCTCCTCATTTGAAATGTACTTACAAGTCACCTGGTTGTTTATGGTCATAATAAGTAATGAAAACAATTCTGTGATTCTAAGTTAACAGTCGTGGACAAATAACAAATAAGTGGATACAGCCACATAGCAGCATCCCCCCAACTCTGAAACTACTGCAGAACCACTAAAATTTGTGCGCTCTAAGAACGGCGCAAATACCAAATATAGAATTGATTGTGATGATTTGCTTGGTGGTGTGGATGGTGGTGGTGGTGGCTCGTGAAGGACGCTGCTACTGGGCAGTTGGAGGCATTCAACCTCCAATAGCAACAACTGAGGGCTGAGGAGCGACGCTCACAACAACGAGCGAAGCTCGGACGGCTATAATGCAACGAGTTGGCACAGGAGGGGGTACAGCTGGTGGTGCATCTACCGGTCATCTCAGTCAGCCAGCCCGTGGCACCTGGGTCTGTACCGTGACCTCCTGTCAGTGAACCTTTGACACTTCACGTGGCCTCAAAGTGCACCTGGCATTGCACAGGCGCAGTGATGACGTCACTGTCACCGAGTGGTGAATGGCACGGTATTGGTATCGGTGGTGGGCGTCTGATGCCGTGCTTAGACGAAGTCGATGGGGCCTTTGGCTTGGCCAAGGTGGGCAGTTAGGGCCTACAGTCTATGGCGAGAGTAGGGCGGCAATGCTGGTGGTACCGGCCGTTCAGGGACCCTGAGGGAATAAACAAAAAACAACGTGAGTGCATTCCAAACATGACATGATGGAGGTGCTACGTTACTTATTTTTATTACGGTTGCGTAAAATAAATGTTTTCGTTATTAAGAACAATTGACCGATTACAATTGGAGTTATATTTAGGAGTGCTATTGGAATGATACGGTGATATTGTATTTGGTGTCTCCTCAATGCGTTTTTTTGTTGTTGTATAAATCCTGGGCCACCGTTGAGCTACTTGGGGCATGAAGCTTTTTTTATCAGTTTGCTTACCTTCGGCGTCACCGCTGCAGATAAAAGTGTGAGACCGAGATTGGCGGATGGACCCTGCCTGCTTCGTCTTAAATATGTGGAGGGGAAAGGTGCATTCAGACCCATGGAGAGAGAGAGAGAAAGGAGAGAAGCAATACAACAACAAAAATGGTTGGCACTGAGGTTTGCTGAACGTTTAAAGAATGTAAGCCGTTGCCGTGTGAATGACGGGGATTGAGTCAAAATGCGAGCGGAAATGCCCCCGAGTCATCATGCTCAGCGGCATCCTTTACATAAACTTGTTTGGATAAAGGTTACGACCTCTGCGCCCGAGTGTTTGTTTGCCCGTTTCAAGTTGAAGACGGGACGCGTGTCAAGGCCTCAGATTCCTTCTCGAGACAATTCGCCGGACTAACTCCAGCCTGTTCTCAAATGGCACACCATAATAGGCAGCATTTTCTTCAATATTCCATGAATGCTTTACCCTTATGGGACTTGACATTTCGAGAGAAAAAAAACAATGTTTGTCTTTCGGGGTAATTGCCACAGGTACGATGCTATTTCAAGCTTGCTCTATCAGCAGCGAACGGCCGTGCGGCAGACAGGGAATGCATGTTTTTTTTGTTGATGCCCAAAACACCCAGGCAAATTGGTATATGGGACCAGTCGACCATATCAATGCAAGGAAACGGTTTATTTTGTATCTCAAATGCATTTAACCTTGAGGTCTTTCCTCCCACGGAATTTCAAATCCCAAGAAGCCAGGGCACTCGCACGCCTATTCAAAGATTGATGCTTTGACAAGGGAGCCATTTGTGTCAATTAAAACAGCCATCATTCATGCAATAATATATAATACACCATAGCATTAAACTTGGATGACCCGCCCAGATTAATACACACGTTTTTCTGCTTTACGCTACCAATTATTATATATGTGCAAAAAGATTAAGTTTGAGTGTGGGGTTTTTTCCCCCTTCATTTTACTGAAAGTACTCTACTGACATTTGGTTAACCAGTTAATTAGAAGAGAATCACTCTCACAATTATGTGGGTGTTGACTTGGAAAGAGACCAACATTTGTTCCGGACATTCCTTAACATAATTATAATCGCTGAACTATTATGTCACGATGTGTTTTCGTTTTTATTTTGAGGAGCCAAGGTTAATTTAGTGGTTTGAATACATTTAGTAGTAGATGTTATGCCACGCATGCCATTGTAGGGCAATTTGTAGTATCCAGCAGTCGTCTTTTTATGCAAATGTGGCTTGCAGTAGACGCATTTATTGGCGATATGAAGGGTACAAGCCCAGGGGTATTGCACAGATGTGTGCAATGTGATTTTTTTTTTTTTTACAAAACCGTTGTCATCCCCCCCCCCCCCCAACTTAATCGTGATTGTGCGTTATCGGTGTTACGTCATCGTGAGATGACGTCTCCATTCGGTTATTTCAAAGCAGAGTAGGGCAACCCCTTTGTGCTAGAGAATGGCCCACGTGGCCCCACCACAGAGAGAGCAGTCGCGCGACAGTCGGACCGATTGTTTTTAATTAACAAGATCGGCAATTTCACCAAATGAAGAACCAAAATTAACGTGCTGTCATTGGTGACCGGGCTGGCACAATCGACTCACTCCACTTGATAACCTGGTTTAATCACGGGCGGTTTTGCCTGAATTTAAACCCAGGATTTCAAGCTGTGTTGGCTCAGCACTCTTGAACCCGGATCCACCTGTGACCACCTTGTGCTAATGCGTTTAGTGAGTGGCCACAAAACGCAGTTTTCTACAAAGACAACTGCAGGTGTGTGTGGGAGTGATTATAATTAT